TATATACTTTTTTTTTTTTTTTTTTTTTTTTGAGAATTGAACTCAATACCTATAACTCCAACATTCTAGCATTAATAATAAATACGTAGAAACAATATCACCCACAGGTTCCTCGTCCCAGTCCCCACCCCATCTTGGGGAATGGGATGAGGATGGGGGATGAGACAGAGACTAGGATGGGGATGGGGGAAGCACTCCCTGCCGCTCTGCCCTGTTGACAATCCTATCTTTGACTGGGTGCACCAGAAGGTTAACAAAAACAGGAAGAATAATTGTCAATTACTGCAAACTTCTACATGGATGTTTATAATTGTTTTGCAATCTCTTCTCCAATATGGTGGTATTCCATATGATTACCAAGTAATATATATTTTTTGGGGGGTTTACCTCCAACATTTGTGTTTAATTTGCCCTACATTGTAAAGAAAAGGTAACTTCCAGCATTCCAAATCCAGATTCTTGTGGAGTACAGAAATAAAGATGCGAACCATGTAGAGTGGGCTAAAGCTTTGAAGGAGTTGTACCTGCCTAGCTTGTGGGACTACGTCAAAAGCTTTTATCCACTAGGTCTCACTTGGGGCTCTGCTGGTAGTGCAGTTGTTTGTTCATCAGCATCTGCTCCTTCTGTGGCAAAAGATCCCCCACCACAGGCTCCTGTTCCTCCGCCTCCTCCCTCAGCATCACTTTTTACCTCTGAAGCTGCATCATCACGACCCAAGGAAGGAATCTCTGCTGTTTTTCAAGAGATCGGCTCCAGCAAATCTGTAACTGCAGGCACATAACGCATATTTATAGAAAAGAAATGACTGAACCTATAATTTTTCCTTTTTCCTTTTCAAAGTTTGACAACAATTTTCTGTATGAAAGGTTTAAGGAAAGTCACTGATGATATGAAGACCAAGAACCGAGCTGATAGAAGTAGTGTTGTTGCTGTCACAGAGAAAGGTTCTCGTGCCAATTCATTTTCCTTCCGTAAAGAAGGCCCCCCCAAGTTGGAGCTTCAAATGGGTCGCAAGTGAGGACATTTTTAATTTTTCTTCCATGAGGAATATGTTACTATTGTGCTTCTAGAGCTTCCTTTTACTTTGCTTACTAGATTAGGTCTTGTATTTCTTCAATATATTCTTCCTCAATTAATCTATAATTTTATTTGCTTTTAGATGGGCTGTTGAAAATCAGATTGGCAAGAAGAACCTGGTTATTGATGACTGTGATTCTAAGCAGACTGTATATGCATATGGGTGCAAAGACTCTGTTTTACAAGTCAAAGGTATTTCTGATCAAGAATTTGGGTTCTATTGATAAAATGGAATCTTTTACCATTTAGTATGAACCCTTCTCAAGAATATCAATTCTCTTTTATGTGCATGTTATGCAGGAAAAGTAAACAACATAACTGTTGATAAATGCACCAAGATGGGTATCGTCTTTATGGTTAGTATCAAAATATGTGTATTCTTGGCTAACAAAAGAAGGAAGGTTTTGTCTTGCATAATCATTTGTAAAATAACAATTCCTCTTCATTTTTGCGTTTAGGATGTTGTAGCAGCCTGTGAAATTGTGAATTGCAATGGTGTTGAAGTGCAATGTCAGGTATCGGTCCATATCTCATAAATTTCAGAAAAATATTATTTCATTTTTTGCAAGAGCCACTAAGGACAGATAACTTCTTATCAGAAAGCTTTCTAATTGATCAGCTGAGGTGTTCAGTTAGTTTTCTTAGTTCTATTTCACTTACATCGGCATCTTAAAACTGAATCTAGGACGTGTTTTTATCCTTGTTTTCTGTAAAGCATGTCCATAGTTTGAGACAAGGAAAATCTCTGTTATTTCCAATCACTTTCTCGCTTACAAAAGATTTTTTATGACTGAATCTTGCAGAAAATTCCTTCTTTGTTTCTCCTGGAGACAAAAAAGAAAATGTAACTCAGTACTTCTTTTATGTCATTCAAGCCACCAAATACTATTGGTTATTACCTTCTTACTGGAGATATGCAACTTGACATTCTTGTTTAAACTTTCTATATATCTGCAGCACTGTTGTTTGTTGCTATAATGGTCTTGAAGAAGGTCCTTATTCTTGTAAAGTGTGTTGCTATAATGGTCTTGAAGAAGGTCCTTATTCTTGTAAAGTGTGTTGCTATAATGGTTATTACTTCAATTATTCCCATTTATGTGCAGGGTTCAGCACCGACAATATCAGTTGACAATACATCTGGCTGCCAATTGTACCTTAGCAAAGATTCATTGGGGGCTTCAATAACCACAGCTAAATCAAGTGAAATCAATGTAATGGTTCCTGGGGCTGGCCCTGAGAGTGACTGGGTAAGACTTTTATTCTAATGCATTATTCTTTTCTTCCATATTTTGGTGATAAGACATGTTGTTTTGGGTCTTATCAATCAACCTCAAACATACTTGATTACATCTTCAGGCTTCAGCTATTGTTATTTTTTGACTTTGGGAATTAATATTGCAGTTATCTGATATTAGTGTTTACGCATATCCAACAGATATCTGCTTTTAGTCTTTTGTAATAATTGATTAGCCTTCGATTAGAATCAAGATGTTTGAAAACTTCTGGTAATATGCTGTTTTGTAATAGGTGATAGTCTTACCTTTTCTTCACCGATTAATCATCGCATTTGCTATGATTTATAGTTTAAATTTTAACAAAATGAAATAAATTATATGTTCAAGGTGATTTCTAATTATTCTGATCATGGCATTTACTAATTAGTCTGGTCAAGCTTAACTGGATGGACACTGGATGATGGAAAACAAGGTGATTGCCTGACCAATAATTTTTGTTCACGAAGTTATACATTGTGGGTTAAGCAATTTAGTCTTCTTTTAGCTTATGTCATAACTTGATTGTAGTCTTGAACTTCAGGTGAATCCTTTATGCAAAAACACTCATAAGATTTCAAGAACCATTAATTTGGCGAAGGCAATATAAGGCTTTAGTGGCATGTCACAGCCTAAAACTTCTTGCTAAAAAATTGAAGATCTAGGGTTGCCTGAAGCTGTGCATTTGCATCAGGAACAATCAAATCATTCCTCGCTTCAGTACTTGACCGGCAGCCTTAGGGGGCTTTCTTCCCAAACACAGCAACAACTGAGTTTTAGTCTTATGATTCTTAGTTGAAACTTCCTGTTAAAATTTAGTGCCCTCCCATCATGATCAAAGTTTTGCTAAGCTTTCTTTGGTTCGTTAACAACTTCCTGCACATGAGGTTGATGGGATAAGGAAGCCTCAAATGGAAGACCGAGAGGCCCACAAAATAATCTTTTTGGTTGGAAATTCTCTGTGCCATCTTGCTATTATTAATTGTCATTGGTGCACTTCACAGGACTAGTCTTTAACTTATCATCGTAAATCATCCCAAAGTGACCACTCTGGAAACTGTGTAGTGTCCTGAAGTTTTCACACAGCATTTGTTAACCATGGTAAATGTTCAAACTATCAATGCCACGGATGATGGGCATTTTGAGTTGTAGGATATCTTATGATGCATGCTTGCTTTTCTTTTGAGACTCAATCCTGATTTGCATCAATATGTGGTAAGACAAACAATTTAAACTTTACCAAACCCCTCTTATCATCAAGTACTCCTGATTTGCATGCATCAAGTATTCCTGTCAAGAGACATGACTGATTGCTTAAATATTTAGGTTCTGCAGTTCAAAAAATTCGCTGGGAACCAAGGAATAAATACAAACTTATAATATGGATTATTCTAACTAAATCTATCAATATTTGTAGGTGGAACATGCATTGCCCCAGCAGTTCGTCCACACTTTCAAGAACAGCCAGTTCACGACATCAGCGGTTTCACACTCTGGTGGTTAGTAGCCATGTTTAATCACCATATTCCCCCATGATAAATACATATAGCCATAGTATTGGATTGGAAGGAACGATGAAGCGGAGAGCCACTCGAATGTTCTTTTGTGTGTTGATTGCTACATGTGAACTCGTAAATTTGGATTCTGTTAAAATGTATTATTCTTGTAACGGTTTCTTTTATTATTTCTTTGTTTTGTGTCGTAAAATTAATTTTACATGGCCCTTTTTGTACCAACTATGTTTACCAAAGGCTTAGTATCCTCCTTTGTTGCTTGTGTTTGCTACTTCGATCTGTGCAGTGAGATTCAATTTATTACAAATAACATTAGTTTTGAAGGGTTTCCTCGCAATGAAGTATATATCTGTCCAGTTAAACGCCAAGCTCTGCTTGTTTGCATGGAAATGATAACATGTAATGTCTAATATCCAATGGGTATTTAATAATTTGGTACCAAATCCGTCTTGGAAAATAATCGATTCCAATATGTCTGAGGATGAACAAGATTAAATTTAAATTTAATTCAAAATTCAAATTCAAGAAAAAATATCTTCTAAAATCGAGTAAGAAATATCTGAATTCAATTTAAGCGGATTAAATAGTCCGGAGGAACGTAAACGAAAGACAAAAAAATTCTATTTATTACCAGCCCAAATATTTCATCTGAGCCTACGTCATTAATTGCAATTGAAATGGAGGAATTGACCATGTCCGGAGGAGATCTACCGTCTCACTCAACCCAGATCCGACATTGCCGTGGCTGGTCCACGTTTAACTGTGCCAGAAGAACACGGCCAACGAGAGGCAAGGAGTCGTTAAGGCGGTTATCCAGACGCGGGAAGTCGGAAGCGCGACGCAGAGACAGCACGCCGCGAAGCGAAATCCATGGCCGCCGCCGTCGTCGCCCGCGAGAGGGACGGCGACAGGGAGCTCCTCATCCCCGTCGGCGAGACGGCCCTGGAGTTCCACCACCACAAGGATGGCGCACCCCCGGCCGCGATCTCCTCTCCTCCGCCTGCCTCCCACCACACGCCCACCGGCATCGAGGTTTCGGTCCTTCATCTCCTCCTCTTGCAGTGGGGCCTCGTCCCCTTTTTAGTGTATAAATCTTTGTGTTTGGAGTTTGTTTCATATTTAACGAGCTTTTCAATTTCCAACATGAATGAATCATGTTCTACTAGGCTTATAAAGAGAGAGAGAGAGAGAGAGAGAGAGAGGTGGTCATGTTTCAGGAACCTATTCTTCTGGCATCTTAATTTGTTAATCTTGCAACATTATGTTTGATTGCCCTATTTTTTCAGCACCAAATGAGACTATTATTTATCAAATCTAAACCTAAAAAAGTTTGATCACTGTCAAACTATTATGGGTAATCAGTGAAAAATTTTCCCCCCTTTTTCTTGTAATATTTGTTCAATACTTTTTTCAGTTTTTTAAGGATTTTACACATATGGTTCTTAGAATATGAGTAAAATGAAGGTCAGAGCATAAACGAATTGAAGAACTGATAGATGGAGAGTCTTGAAGAATACGCGGCCTTACAGTTACAACAGGACCATTATCCTTCCTCTTCCTAAGATTTGACTCTGATTCTTGAATTAACCATGATTAGAAAGATTATTCTCCCAAAGATCGATCCATATTTTGTTTCTCAATCATATCGATTTAGTATCATAGACTCAGCGAAGACTAGATAACAGAAAGCAATTAGGAGTAGTGTGGGCCTTGTTATTAGAAACTAAAGATATCCGATTAATTTGGTGATGCTCAACTTTGGATTTTTGGCTAATATGTTGACTGTGAAATCATGAACATAACAAAAACTTAAGGATCATAATCTATGAACACTAACTTGCTTGTTAGGGCGGTGTTCCTGCTTTACTACTGCATGTCTCAGCATCAAGCCATGATCCACGTAGAAGCAAAATTCTAAATCAAATACTTGTGATGGAGAGCAAAAAGCATGAGTAGGCTACTTACTGATTTGCAATATGCATTCTGTTTTCTTCCTAACATAATCTTTTCCTAAATAAAATTATTGAGTAATAGTTAATTTTCTGTTTTAAAAAAAACATAATCTTTTCCTTAAGTTTATTGTTTGGGTTTATTCTGTCAGATTATTGCTGATATTAACCTACAATAAATATTACAAACATGGTAAACATTGTTGGACTACTTAATAACATAGATCAAAATGCATGAGAAGGCTACCTGTTTCACAATATGCCTTCTTTTTTCTTGCTACCATACTCTTCTACATTAAGAAGCTTCCTGACCATTTATTGCAATTTTGCTAGGCACTTTCTAAAGTCATTCGCAGCTGGGCTTCCAAAACGTTCATGACTGGTTGGTAAGTGCTAACTGCTCAACACTGCAACAATTGGTTGATGAAACTGTTGTAAACAGCATGAAATGGTCTCCTGCAATCTTAATATACTTGCGATTGGTCTTTAGTTTACTTCTCATGCATTCCATTTTTTTTTTTTTTTCTGGAGTTATAGTTACAAGCTCTTGTTTACGTTGTGTCAAGTCGTATTTTGCCACAAGTGAAATTCTTGTTTTTCATACATTTTGTGTTAATTAAATTCTTTATACAATTTCTGGAGCTGAAAATTATATTATCTCATTTACATGGAAAATAGGCAAATCTTGCTTCTCAGACCAATGATTCATCTGTTAGTGATAGCCATATGCAGTATATCAGTAGCTTGCTCGTTCGTCTGTTTAGTTACCATTTCAGCAACTATACCTTTGTGCATAATTGTCACATATAAAATACCTAACAATTTATGTTTTCTGCATTACTGGTTGAAGTGTGTCACAGCAGACCTATCATTGGTTGCACTTTTGTTTTGCCTTTAAATCTAGTTCATCAAGCTTTCCTTTCTAAGTTTGGACCAAACATGATGATGTTCTTGAGATTATTGCTAATGATCAATATCAAATAATAATTCCTGGCACATATTTTGAATTGACTTCAAGCTTGGGCCACATTTCTATTTTAATTTTATGGACCCTGAATTTATTACACTTTGATCCACTTTCCTGTGTCTGGCTTTAAGTTAATTTTGGCCTTATTCACATTATTCCAAATGCGTGAGAAAAAGAAGGTTGACAAACTTCATAATGTTCCAACTTACTAAGTTAGAACAAAGATCACGGTCTGAATTTTCATAAGATACATAGTCAACATAATAGTATCATGATGCATTTACCTGTTTTGCAGTGTAATTCTCCTTCCAATTGCCATCACCTTTTACACTACCTGGTGGTTCTTTAGTTTTGTGGATGGATTCTTTTCACCTATATATGCTCATCTTGGAATTAATGTTTTCGGTACGCATTTTCTACACTAAGTAGTTGGTAGAGGCACTGCTTTATTTCATCGCAAACTGGTCTCTGTTTATCTCTTCAGCAATCTTTCACATTAGCAAGATTAAGTAGCAAAATCTCTCTTTTTTTTTATCTTCAACAAAATCTAAATAATATCCTGTTTATTACATGAACACCATCTGATACGCATCAATTTGTAGGTTTAGGATTTATCACCTCAATCACCTTCATCTTTCTTGTTGGAATGTTCATGTCGTCATGGTTGGGAACTTCTCTACTTGGCCTTGGTGAGTGGTTCATCAAGAAAATGCCACTTGTGCGCCACATCTACTCCGCATCGAAACAAATAAGTGGAGCAATTTCTCCAGGTTACACATGCGAGTTACTTCTGTGTGCTCCAAAGCAAAGCAGTGAAGCTAAGCGTATAGTATGCTGCAGATCAGAGCTCCCGAGCTTTCAAGGAGGTGGTCATTCTAAGGCATCCACGCATCGGTGAATACGCAATTGGCTTCATTACATCGACTGTGATTCTTCGAGGAAGCAGTGGAGACGAGGAGCTCTCTTGTGTGTATGTGCCAACCAATAACCTCTACCTTGGCGACATCTTTTTCTTCAACTCAATGGATGTGATCAGACCAAACTTGTCTGTACGCGAAGGGATCGGTAAGCGCAAAAGTAGAATTTATGCATCAAAATTAAGACTTGATCAAGTGAGTTTGTGATCTCTTTTGATGCTTGGTGTTGCAGAGATTGTTCTTTCAGGTGGCATGTCGATTCCTCCTGTATTATCTACTCGTAAAGTGAAGGATACTCTTGAAGAAGAAGTGAGGATTCTGCAAAACCCAAAATTGCTGAGTGTGAAGGATTAAAGATTTTTGTTGCAAGTAGCTGTTGTCAATGTGAATTCCACAATGAATCGAAACTACAGTTTCCAAAAGCATGATCTCGAGGCATATGGAGTAAGGAATTACAATCTATGTTATGAACTTATGCTGTGCAACAATGCAAGCATTATTTTTTCTGAATGAATTGTTGTGTAGCTTTGATGATCATATTCGGTGGCAACAGAATTTTTGTGCCAAGAAATAGAAGATTTGGATGGATTAACTGTCACTAGAGTTCGATAACACTAATTTTAAGTTTTGGTGCAAAATAAAATCTCTCATTCTCTATATCTTTGGTGATAGTATTTACGGATGATCCTAGCCATTGATTCTGTAAATTTCGCACCGATGAGATTAGTGCCACTTAACAACAACCGCATGATTGATCGCTATGATCATTAAAACAACATAGGTTCGTTGTACAAATCTCAAGGCAATCATTCATCTGATTTGTGAAAGAGTAAGTCACTTAGGACAATTATTCCTATTATCATGCATCCAATGAATTATCTTTATAATGAACAGAACGTAAAAATATTATTATGAGATTTTTGTATTTCATTGAAATTAATTGGTGTCAACCAAAAGATACTTTGGCTGACCTGATGCAGGTGGAGGTCAAGCAAATCTTTGACATCCATCGGATTTTTTTTTGGACATACATCAGAATATTTTTGCATAGTTGGTCAATAATATTAATGTCGTGATCTATCATCGACATGAATTCTTCATGCATGTCTCGTAATGAAGACAAGATTGGATAATATCATTACAGGATATTATCATGAAAAATAATGAAAGTTGGCTCTTGTTGTTATCATGCCTAATCTTTGTTGCAAATATACATGAGCATTATCTGATGAATAATGTCAAAGATTAATGGAAAATAAAGCATTCAGAGCTCAGTAAATGCATATTATAAGACATGGTTGGACCCTCCAAAATCATCATAATGACTGCAATTGTGATTCTAAAATCCATCATTTTGTTTACAGCGTGAGATAATTATTCTATTGTTAGCTAGCCTTTGAAATATATCTGAATCTATTCTAATAACATAAAATTAATTAATAACATGATATTAATTAATCATAGTAATTGTTTTTACTAACATGTTTGGTAGAAACAAGATATATTGCCAAAAAAAAAAAGAAGAAGCATTATTCATGAATTTTTTTCATTTGAGATGAATTGATTGCTATATATGAAGAGAGAGAGAGAGAGAGAGAGAGAGAGAGAGAGAGAGAGAGAGAGAGAGAGAGTATTATAAGGCATGAAAAGAATTATAGATGTGAAAACAAGTCTTCAGATAATTGGGTCAAACCAATCTTGCTTTGGCCAAACCTATGTGAACCTCATGTCGTGGGACCCATTGGGCAAGTCTAGCGAAGTCATCACATGGGTGTGTGTGACCCACCACTGGCCTCCAAATTCCACCATTCATGGGTGAAGGAAGGCCAATCCAAGAATGTGGATCCACCCATCATTCCTTCCTTCTTCCACACTCCTTCCTCTTCAGCACCGATCAACAGACACGATCACATGAGCTTTCCCCATCACTACCCATACACAACCCGATACATACATCATGCTTCTTCTGTCCTATCCATACATGGCAAGCTAAAAGTTCTTCCCATGACTAGTTCATGCCCAAACAACTCATTGTTTGATCTAACAACAGATGAATAGAAGAGATGCAGATATGTTTCTTCGATACAGCTCATGAATCAAGCACTTCAATCACAACAATAACATTCCCGAACGCATGTAGATCTTTGTACCTCGAGAAGCTATTGGAATCCTCCCTTCTTTTATGATTGACTTGAGATATAGTTTAAGCAAATCGTATGAAAGATGCTTCCCCAGCTCCCTGTAAAAATGGAGAGGCTGTGGGTTCAGCATGCAGCTGAATGAGAAAAAGGATTCAAGCAGTGACCGGGTTTTGGTGCTTTGGAACTGTCTTTGGCGTCGCCGCCGCCTCCGCTGATCCTCTGGCAGGATGGGCACATCGTGAGGGGGGCGGCCGCCGACGGGAGCTGCATGTGGAGCAGTGGCTGCGCGAATTTGAGAGCCTTGAGCTCCTGCAGCTCCTTATGTAGCCTCTGGTTCTCGTTGGTCAGCGCCTCGTAGCACTTCTTAAGGAACTCACAGTCGACCTCGGTCTGCTTCAGCTTCGTCCTACAGTCGAAAACAGGAACAATAGAGAGTCGATTGTTCTTCCGAGGATAGAGTAAGATGAAGGTGAAGAATAGATTTGCATGGAGCACTCGTGACACACCTTGCTCTCCTGTTCTGGAACCACACTTCCACTTGCCGGGGCCGCAGATTCAAATCCTTGGCCAACGCTTGCTTTTGTTTCTGATGGCCAAAGGAGGAGGAGGAGGAAGAAGAAAAAGAAGAACCTAAGAGACTGACAGAAACAAGAGTCCGAATTCCATGTAGGGTTTATGAAGGAACTCACCGGATTTAGGGTAGTATGCTCCTTGAATCTGTCCTCCAACAGAGCGGACTGCTCTCTCGTGAGCCTAAGCTTCTTCCTGCCGCTGCTGTTCTCCTCCTCATCGCTACCACGAGATGAAACTCTCTCCACCTCGGCTCCCACATCATCCTCCTCCTCCTTCTTCTTTTTCTTCTTCTTCTTCTTCGGGATCGCTACGTACGCAGCAGAGGAGAACGAGGAGGCTGCGCTACGAGAAGACGATAGCTGCGCTGGCCTATCAGCTTCAGCCTTTTGCATGGTCCGGCCACCACCGGAGGCATCATCGGAGAGGCTCAAGCTGAGGGACGGCTCGTCAGGGAACAGGTTCGTGCAAGGCGAGCAACATCCTCGTTGCCGACGACGACAGTCATCGGCCGATGCTGTGCTCGCAGGACCGATGCCTAGCCCAAGAGAAAGGTCAGTATCAAATGTATCATGAGGATCCATGTCCATCCAAGCTTGGCTCTCTACCCTTTCAGCTGCCTCTTCTTTGTACTGCGACAGAGAGAAGAACGAGGAAATGAACTGGAAACGGAGCTCGAGAGGGCACTATTAAGCAAAACATCCTTTTATGGGGGGCATTTCTAACTGCAGTGGAACTGTAGTCAAATGTGACGAGCCAACGCCCTGCCACCAAAGGAAAAGGCCGACCAATGACCAACTCCTAGGTTAAGGAAGGCGAGGGGTGAGAGATGACCGCTCGGGTCAAGACCGGGAGTAGAAGGATACATGACATCATATTACCTCTCTCTGTTTCTCTCTTCTCGTTGCCATAATTTCCTCTTTCTTAGCGTTCTTGATATGTCTTCACCATACAGTAATCCATATTGCAGAGTTTGCTTTCACAGCAAGTATGGGATCTCAACAACTTGTCGATGCACATCTCAACTGGTGGGAGCAGCACTTGGACGATGATTTAACAGTAGTACTTGATGTGATGTCAACTTTGCTTGGTGTTCATGTTGCAGATCTTTCCCATGTGTCAACGGAGGGGGTCCAACCCCCTTGAAAGCCACACATGAGCTGTCGGTTCTCTGCATGGAGAGTGGTTGCACAGGTTGCAACATCACACCATGGGTAGATGTCGGACGGATAGAGTTAATATATAGTTACGGATGAGGAACTATGATCACCCAACAAGCCAGTGAGTGATCGACCTCTGAGGTTGATTCTTACTCTACCTGGCCGACCGTGGGGCTTTTCTGGTCATTCATGGCAGTGAGCATCTCGGATCACCGTCATGGGAGCATGCAAAGGCATGCATTGACTCCGACGCTACCGGACAAATCCATATCCAAGGACATGATCGGAGAATGTACGCCAACTTATTCAACCGCAAGGAACGTGAAAGCTGCTCGCCAACAAAATCTAGTCGCGTAGGATCGTAGAAAATGGTTTTGCCGGTGGAGGAAGTCACCGCCGCCGACGGCATGCGTGTCGCACCGAGGCATGACCGCCAATCACTCGATTCCATGCGAAGATGATAAGGGCTCGATCCGTGTCATCTCTCCACCACTCTTTCTGCAACCACAGCCGACCATGTTGTCCGCAAACCGTAATGAATGCAAAGCTTGTCTTCTTGTCCCTCTAACATTAGCCATCATCACACACTGAACCAAACATAGGAAAAGATGACAAGTCGGGAGCTTATTATGATCCTGTGCTGATGAAGCAAAGGATGGAGAGAGTCGGAAAGTGCTCTCGTTGCATCCACCAGAGCACTACTACTAAAGCAGTTCTACACTCTCTTCGCTACTCTCTACTAGACTTTTTGTAGTTGGAAATGATGCTAAACGGTGAAGGTAAGAGTGGAAGTCCGGCAAGTCAACTCACCAAGCAGGAGCATAAAAGCATGATTCTGATTGCATGCAAAATGAGTCGTAATCTGCTGACGAATAATTTCTTATCATAACATACAAGATGAAAAGAAATGTTTGTATTGAGCATATGTGATGACCACTTCTTAAGGGAGTCGACAAAAGAGAAGACATCTCATTCTTCTTCAAAGGTAAAGGTAATGTTGGTGTCATGCTTCACTTTCTTACCCTCTATCCGATGGTTGACCTTTCGAAACGCTAAAATATCATGTAATATATAGACATTTGTCCTTTCGAATAAAGGTTGACAAATCAGAATGAATATAATAATTCCATTCTTCTTTAATTTCTTTCCTTTCCTTTCCTTTGCGGCCCAGCAATAAGCTTGCAATGTCAAAAAATGCAAAAAGGACTAATGGATGGAGCAATCAAATCGAGAATGGTAACCTTCTTGTGCATAATGTTCAATTGAAACCTTCTTGTGCATAAAATTAGGTCTGATCCCCCACCTATTTATTTGCAAGATATCATCTTTTTCTAGTGCCAAACTCAGAGAGGACCACAATTGGTGGTGTGAATGTGACAATTGTGGATTCTATCTTGACATGGGATTCAAATCATTTCCCATCACCATCAACATCCTCAAATATATGGTGGAACCTTTTGTGCACCCCCATGTATTGTATTTTGTGACCAGCATCTCAACTACCCCTCTCAATTCTCACTTAGTGACCTCAGTTCATAAGAAACGCATATCCTAATGGTGTCTTATTTTATATAATAATAATAATAATAATAATAATAATAATAATAATAACGATGATGATGATTTCTGATACGCTAAGAAGAATAGGGAGTTGAGATTTATCTTGATTAAAATGAGATAGTAATTTAATTATATTTTCCTCTATAGCTACGAGAGATCGAACCCTCAACCTACGAATAATGACTTAAATGTCTCATCCGTCGAAATGTTTCCTATTAGATAAAATCTATAAGAAAAAAAGGATTTCTTGTTGGGAGGATAACCTTAAGTTGTTTTCTTTTATATAAGCGATGGGTTGAAAATTTGAAATTAGATACAAGGTGAATATTCCTATGAACTTTTACCCTCCTTTTAGTTCATAGCCAATTTAGCTTTTGCTTATAATATATTATGATTGGAAAATTTAGATCCAGTATTAAAACTCTCAATTTGTATGCATCGTTCTACTTCTGAAATAGATTGCACAAGTAATAACTCACACATTATAAAACATGTAGTAGGAGCCATTGCATTCCTATCCACTAAACCCATAGCTTCATGATCAAACTTTTGGACCACACTTCAGCAGTCGAAGGCTTGTCCTCATCTTCTGGACAATGTTTTCTGACATGCAATTTGTCATTACGTACTGTGAATTTATCATCATCCTCGGTTTTGTAACATCAAATTTGTTATCTTTGTTTTTTGGTGACATGCTATCGATGATATTGTTCTAAAGGAAAAATAAGAAGAAACCAATAGTGAAGTAAAGAAAACTGTAGTTTGTGATTGATAATTGATCAGATATGGCCAAATCAGAAGTTAATGACAACAGTTTTGCACTGATGATGAGATGGTCCCAATGCCAATACATTTCGACTGTCCTTATGATTAGATCTATGCTGACTTTTGTAGTTTAATCTGCATGATGTGCACTATGTTTAGCTTGAAAGGAACATCATGTTGTGTTAAACAGTCGACATCATGGTTCGCCTACCAATGATGAGGCTGTTAGGTGGAGAGTAGAGTTGCTCTTGAAGAAAAATTTGTACGCATGACTTGAATGTCAAAGGTTCTATCCAATGAACAAAATGATATAATCATTGAGGTGACTGATTTTGATTTCACCATATACATAAATGATTTTTTCTGACATTTTGGATCTTGTCCTAGAAAATATCTTCTTCTTCTTTGTGGATGGGGACATCATTCGTGGTCATCGCTTGGGCATCCAACTCAATGCAAAGAGACTCCGGAAAATATTCTTCACCTTAAAAGTGTTAAATCTAGATATTATTGTTTAAGGTAGTTCACATGAAGTCCATGCAATTTATCATCATCTTCTTCGAGTGATTCATGTCCTAATTCAGTGATGTTCTTGCTATTTGTTCCTATGCATCATTAATAGTCTTGGTTGATCATCATACATGACCATCAGAAAATCTGACTCATCTTCTTCAACATGTAACTCATCATGTGCAACTCGGAAATCGAAAGATGAGACACTCATCCCACAGCATAATTAATTGGCTAGAGATGAGATGAGATGCTCATCACAATCTGCTCGAACCAATTACCCAAAGTTTTTGCCATGTTAGAGTATTCATTTTTCATGGATCTCTCGTCGCATCTTTTGGAAATTTCCATGGATCTCTTGGCACAAATTTGCCTTCAAACAGGAACACATCCTGCATATATCAGTTCACTTCTGCCTCAATTCCTTGCATCTGCAGTAGCATACCAAAGCTCCATTGATAATGTAAGCAATCGCATCAAAAGAGGATATACACAAAAAAAAAGAAACAGTAATTAATAAGAAATCAAATTGTGTAAAGAATGCGTTTGTCACAAGATGCTACATATCACCTGAGGAACCATGTGGAAAGAGGTAAAACTATTATCACATCATCTCTCTTAAGTACATTTTCATAAGCCTTGTATTTTGTTGCTCTTTCTGCATTTGATAAGCTGAAAATGCAGAGGCAGCTAGAAACAAAGATTACCATCTTATTACTAAAAGAATGTGACTCCTCCGGAAAGAACTACAAAATGACGCTACATGCTCCCATTTGAGTTAGATATCATCAGGAAAGTATGTCTTCTCCACAAAATGGTGATATAAAAATCTGCCACATGATATTTTGGAGCAGTTCAGCTTCATAAATAAGTATGTCGAGGCCCATCTCTATTAGAACTTTAGAAGTAATCTGCAGAACAGAAGGTGAAATTCTTATAAGAGAACCTTGAAACATTTAACAAAAATAATGAAACAGCCTAATTATTATGTTTAACTAGTTTAATGTTATTTCCAAGAAGCTTATGGTTAATAGATCTTAGATTTGGCAATAAAGTTAGGTTCTTTCATCAGCTCTAATAACTGCTCTAGGAAAATGTTTGATTGCAAATAATTATACGTTATAAGCCAACAATGTGCATAAATAGAGTGGAAGTACATGTGCAATTCCAAGTGACGGCAAGCATAAGTAGCACATTAGAATTGTGCAGAAGATCTGGCTAAGTATTTCAACTGATTAAGCATTGTTTCCCATGGAGGATGAATTTTTAGTTTGCAACGTACCTACTGTTCTGCAGCCTTTTCGTCGTCTGCAGTGTCGGAGGGTCTCCATTTCCTATCACAAGGAAAAAAAGTCCTTTTCTCATCAGATTCCTCCTTATTTAGCTTCTGATCTATAAGATTCAGCAACTCCTGCAAGCCAACCCCTGTAATCGCTGAAGTTTTCACGCAATTGATGGTTTTGGATTCATGATGATCTCCTGAATCCTTCACATCACATTCCACCAAGGAGTCAACATCTTTGTTATCAAAATTTTCCATAACCTCTTCAGTTGAAACATCAGAAGCAATGTCGCCATCATCATAATCATCATTATCATCCATATGCTCACCACAGGAGAACTCAGATGCCACATCGTCAGCATTATCCAGACTTTCTTCTTGTGAAAATTCAGAAGCCATGGCATCATCATCCTCATCTACAGGCTTACCAGATGAAGGATCACATGTCATATCATCCTCTGGGTATTCTTCTTCATCTTCACCTATTATTTCTTCTTCACCAAAACATTCATCAGCTCCACCGTTGCTTTCAAGAAGATCAATCTGACACACAAAATTTGTCATGAATCATATCTTTAATCAATTCATTGAGTAAATAAGAAAAAAGTAGTTCTTGATGTCAATGTCCATCATGAGCACAGTAGTACTTTGTTCCAAACTTCAATCATATTTTTAATCTTTTCCCCTGACACACCAAGCTGTTGCAGCACTTGAAGTACAGCTTCACGTTGCGCATCAAGATCAGGTGAACTAGAGTCTAGTACATGCTGTAGAGGTTACAAACAACAGCTATTAGCTGTTTAGTGATGATTGCAAAATATCTGAAAGTTACTATGCTAGGCAAGAGTAAAAGAGGTGACAGCTACACAAAACACAAGATCATGTACAAAGTTTCTTGATTAATTAGTTAGTTCATGAAACATGCTGTTATCCACTATTCAAACAGGAAAGTGGACCCTTCAGCATTAGCACTTAATTTTATATCAACATATTAAATATTTCAATGATTTTATGCTATCTATGATGCTTGTGGCTGATCACCATCTTGCTCTTGAATGTCAGATAAAATTGCATAAGCAAAAAAGCACACACATAGGACATTGACTTAATCTGAAAGCGGGGAGCATTTGTGTATTCTGTAACATAAGTTCAACTGACGCAGATGAAGATTGCCGAAATAGGTGATTGAGAGCTAATTTTATAAAGAGATATAGAGAATACATATACCTTCAGGCATCTAAAATATGTACCTTACAAGAAAGCCGAGCAGATTTAATTTGGTAACTATCATCAGAGTGTAGAAGGTCCAGAAAATTTCAATGGGCTAAATTTTTATTATAGATCCTCATCGAACATACTAAATTGATTTTGAGCAATGAAATCCAAAACTTGTTACCGAGAGTAACAGATTCACCTTTGAAGGAACTCCACAGTCCATATCAATGGCATGTTAAGAAAGATGATAAAAAGGAGGATTACAAGAAAAATCTGCTAGAACTTCAAGAAAATGATATTTTGTCTGTTCGCCTTCCAGAATATAAATTTAATAACTCTGCTAGAACAGGGTGGCATCTGACAACTGCAACTAGGTCTGGGGAAACTCTCTTTGTTTTGTTTTTCCATTTGGTTCATACACATCCTCTGCCCACCTATAAGTTCACAACTCAATACCCTTAGCTCCTCAAGAATATCATAGACACCCTTCTGGAATTAATAAATTTCATCAAATGCCTTCCAAATTTCCAGACAGCATAAACATATTTGAAAAGGAAAATGTATATATGAAGAAACTAAAAAATTATCAGTAGACAAACCATGACATTTCACCCCTTTTTTCGGCATTTGTCTGTAGAAACAAAAAAAAAATCCAAAATTGTTTTAGATATCTGCTTAGCATTTGACTGAATCCAAAAATTCCATTCCCAACCCATAACCCTGCAACAGTTGGCAACAAAGGAAGCAAAATAAACAAAACCAAAGCCCCCTTCCCTGTTTCAAAAGTCATACACTAGGAAATTTATGGCAGGATGAGGAGCTGGTATCTTGGACAACAAGCAAGATATTTCCCACCGTACTAAACTGACATAACTTGGCTTCCATTACTTTATGACTGATATGAAGTATAGCCATTTAAGTTACAATGCAAGTTCTGCATGATCTGTCACATGCAATCGCCATATATTACTGATATACAGAATAATTCAGAGGTGGCTATATCTTTCTTGCATTGTGTATTATCCTAAGTGATGTACCTAAGTGCTGTAACAAGTGCTAGCAGAACTTACAATTAACTCAAACATTTTTTACTATGTCATTTTCCATCTCAAGAAAGCAAACTTGAAAAGTGATGAGTTTCGGTTATGTATTCTAATTCATAATTAGAAAAGAGCATACCACTAATAAATCTGCTTCAACCACTTCTTCCAAGGTTGCATGAAAGGCCTCCACTAGCTGAAATACATGGACTTTTGTCAAAAAGCAAATGGAAAGGGTCAAAATTGTTCAGGTGACATTTAAAAGTTAATAATAACTGACATTGATATTACCTGTACAGGCAAATCTGAGATGAATCCAACAGTATCACTAAGAAGCGCCTTTTTCCTGAGTGCCAGCATAAGCAAAGATTTCATTACATCAAAACAGGCTAATAAAATTTCACTTCCTATTTAAAGGGGCCTTAACCATGGCAACAAAAACCACAATAGTATTACCCTGACGGAAGGACAACACTTCTTACTCGAGGATCCACAGTTGCAAATAATCTACATCAAGGCAAAATTTCCCATTAAAATTCAGCAACTTATCACATCAATATACCACACAATTAAACCATTTTTATAGAAACAAATGATTACAGTTTGACATAAATGCCTACAAAGAAACTACTAGTAGCATGTAGGAATACCTATCATCACTATATAAATCACTTTCAGAAAGAGCACTGACTAAGGTAGATTTGCCCTGCATACACAAATTTTAAATATAAGTATCCCAGATCAAACTTGGTAGCAACAAGGCAAGAGTAGCTAGAAACTTCTAAGACTGAAAATTGAATGTAATCTGATCCCTTTTTCCACAGTTCAAAAGCAAAATATATTGTAGTTAGGACAAAGCAGCTTTGTTTAGACAAGCTAAATTTCAGCAACAAGTGCAATTACATACAGCATTTGTATATCCAACAACAGCAACAGTTGCTAGGCCCTGACCATATGAACTACCATGCCTTCTACGTGCATAACGTTGCAGAGACCGTGTTCGTCGAACTTCCTCAATCTGGGATAGTATATGGATTCGTCGCTCTTGAATTCTGCAGGTTATTTGATGGAAGAGAATCTCTAAGCATCATTTCTGGAAATTAAGCATGTACCAAAAAGAGGTGAAGCAAACAAAAAAAATTCATCCATAAAAAAATTTGAAACTAACCTCCGACGTTGAAGCTGCAGTTCAGTTTCTCCAGCACCACTAATAAAGCCACGGCCTCCACTTCCTCTCCTGCAGAAAAAAGGTCAATGATGAATATCTACGATAGTTGTCAACCATTACTGCATATTAAACATAGAACAAATCCTGTTAACTAGTTCTTGATGTCTCAAATCTAGTATAATACTAAATGCAACACCCATGATAATATTTCCAACAAGTTCTTCCATATTACATTGATCATTAGAAAAAGTTTCTCTTTTTCATGCATAGCCATCTTTAGAAATGTTTACAACTCCCTCTACAAACAACAACAACAAAGCCGTAAATCCCAATTATCTACGGTCGCCTATACGAATCTTTTGCTGCCATTCAAATCGGTTAAGATTCATTTTCATGAGATCTGGCATAGTTTTGCACTGGTTGTCAATGACCTAATGCAACCCTACACCTTTTTCATTCGGGATTGGGACCAGCATTGGCGGTGTTGTTTACAACTCCCTCTCTACATAAAAATATAGAATAACTGATCTGAGAGAATATCATGCCAATATGGTCTGACCACCTTATTAAGGTGCATTAATTGCTATATCTAGCATAATGTCAACACCAAGGATGGTGCAGTGCCAAGCATGTGCTTGGCCAATAGCACGTAGCCCGTGCCTCTATATTGCTGGTATGCCAGCAAGCAGCACCCTGGAAAAAGCACTCAGATTTGTTGCTCAGAATTTTGCAACACCTGTATGATGTAAAAAGCACAACCATTTTAACCACTAAAAGAACAAATTATTCATACCCCCGAGCACTAACAACTTCAGCTTCTCCACTTGTTCCAAAAGTCATCCGGCCACCTGGACCACGAACTCGTACAAGCCTTGTCCTCTTATACATAAGAGCTGCTAACTCTGACTGTGACCATGAGAATAGCAAATTTGTAAGTCATCTTTAAGTGACATGAACATTCAACCAAAGAACAGACAAGTGTAATGACAGAAATCATGACCACAATAAAGAATAGAACCTTTCTTCCATGAGAAACATATACAGGCCATGGAATACAGTGGAAAAATAGAGTTTCAAATCGTCAGTTGAAGGTTGAAAAGAAATCATGGAGAGCAATCAGAAAACAATACCTGTAATTTTGCTTCTTTTGTTTCAGCATGAGCATTGAATATCTCTATAATAAGACCAATGCGATCTAAGACTGGTTTCTGCCATGAAACCTGCCGATTGAAATTAAGGTATAAGCAGTAGCTTTGAACATTTTTTGAAATGGTAAAACAAAAGATAACCTCAAGCCTTTTCCAAAAAGAAAATCCATTATAACATGTGTAGATGCAAACTCACCTCCAAATTGCGCTGCTGGATCCCAGAAAGAATTGCATTAACAAAAATTGCATCTATTGCATTCTGTTCGAAAAGATGAAGAAGAATGCAACAAGATGGAAATATTAAAAACAAATAAAAATCAGTCAGATTAACAGGACAGAAACATCTCCATGCATTCACCAAAATTAGAAAACATGCATGTTGTTTTTGAAAGATCATCTTTCTTTACACAAGAAGTGACAGACTCTTTTATAGGCAACAAACAAGACATAAAAAAATATCATATAAGCAAGCCACAAAGATTTCTTCCACTAGTTTTATTCCATATGCATCTCATCACATCTCTAGCACTTCATATATATGCAAGCCTAACCCTCATAAAGCAAATCAGTTTACATAAAGAAATTTTATATAATGAAGCTCATCTTCTCCTATTTGGTTCAACAGGGTGACAAAGACAAAACAATTAGTTCTTCTTTTGTCATCCAGCTATGCCAATAAAATCCATAATTAGTCCGGGCAAGACCTGACTTCTGCAGAAGATAAAGGTGTTTGTGATCTTCTGGATATCAGAAATGTGGCACTCCCCTAACAAGGAATCGAAAGTAGAGGTCAAAGCTTTTGTTAAATGCCACTCTGTATAACCTAATCTGCATTTACTTCTGAAATTTTGATTTTTGAATAAATTATTCTCAGGAGGACTTGTGCAAGAATCTTGCTTGATTGTCGAGCAAATTCAAACAACAAATGTTACAAGCATTTAAAAGTTGAAATCATTAGGAAGGAGATAAAATACATATGTCAAAATCTTTTTAATGAAGATAAATTTTAAAAATTAGGGTGTTTAATAAAAAAGGCCTCTTTTCTCACTTGTTGCCAATTAAAATATTTTTTTGGTTATGCCCCACTCTAAGGTCCCCCTGTGACATTTGCCTGGTGTTTGCATAATGCACATAAAAGGTGCCTAAGTGGGGAAAAAAAAAGAAACCAAAATGGAAGCCTTAAGTGGGAAAATCCAAGAAAAAAGGGGTCTTTTTGGGTAAATCCCCTCGATTAATGTATCCAAATTCCAAACCACTAAAGTTTTAGTGATGTCATAGAACACAAGAAATATGAATTTATTTATAGAAAAGATTAATTTTAAAGATGTACCTCTGTCACCAAGGCCCTTAGTTCGCATTTGACATTTTCAACAGTCCCCCGTCCAAAATATGTGTCTGCCACAAGAAAATTGCACGTATGACCAATTTAACCATGTTGACAGGAACAGTATCAAGAATATAATCTCAAAATTGAACAAGATCCATACGACATACAGCAAAATAATATTCCAAGACTGAACAATTCATTTACATACGATGTATTCCTCAATGAATCCACAACACTCCATGCTACATGATTTTCCCGTTAGTGAATTTCATGACATTGTTCATTTATCCCTTGGCATGCTTTTTGCATTATATAAATAATTGTACAAAACAAAAATTTAAATATATTACTTTTCCATCCTTTCTTTACCAACAAATAATTATCAGAATTATTACAATCTTAATAACTACTTCAAAGTCATTATCCAAATTCTAGATTTTTCAAGCACAGTTATTCCATGATTAAAAACTGTGACTGTGCTCAGAAACATAAATTTAACCTCAACATAAAATTTCAGAAAGAAACTCCTAGGAATAAAAGCAGAGGATTACTTTAAGAGTCCATAGAACCTGAACGTTTGCAAATAAATAGAAACCCATGTCAACCTTAAAGAAGAATGTTATTACAACTGGACAGAATTGTAGAACACTGTGAACAAGCATCTCAAAGACAAGTACTAGCACATCGGGTTCAAATATTAAAAGTAAATTTGAGAAGACAAATAGGGCAAAATCTGCTTAGGGATGAAAGGAGTTCAACTTGCAGAACAAATGACAACCATGTGCAATGACATCCATGTGCAAGAATTTCAGCTAGCAGTATGTCACTCATCCCAATAGACACAGAATAGATGGAAATAATTAATGGTGATTAGGATAGCCTATGCTATCTCTTTCTTTGAGCAACATATGCTTGCCTGTGGAACAATATCTTCGTTTTCCTCCAAATAAACTAAGCCTATCTCCCCTGCTCTTCATTTCCTTTTCTATTTAAGTTCAAGCATACTAAAAAACGGACCAATGAGCTTGCACTACACATGCCACAGATCAATTCATGAGAATAGATGGAAATAATTAATGGTGTCAAACAGCCTATGTTTTCAATTTCTTTGGCAACATATGCATGCCTATGGAACAATATAATCCCTTCCCTCAAATAACCTACGCTCATCTCCCCTGCATTCTTTTTCCTTTTATGTTTAAGTTCAAGCATACTAGAAAAAAGGCAAGATTGTTGGACTAATGAGCTTGCGTTATACTTGCCATAGATTAATTCACGACGAAGTGAGGATTAGAAGGTTGGTGATGTGCTCTCTTGTTGGATGAAAATTCACCAACCGTTGCGCTTGGAGAGAAATTGGTCCTCAACTCACTTAATTATGTCCTTCACGTAAACCGTCAACCATTGAACCGACACTAAGAAGGAATCGAAACAGAAGTCCTAAGTCAAACCTTATACGACAAACGCACCCCACATAAAAAACCATGGAGAACCATCCAAGAAAGTATTCAAACTCCACTAAATTCTCGATCAACTCGCAGACTTTATATAAAAATGACAAATTTGGAGGATAAGATGTCAAGGACGGGAGAAGCTAACCCGAGTGCACCCTGAGGGATCTGGCACCGGGGTTCTGCACGACGAGGTGTGGCGGCGGCTCCTTCGAGCCGTAGTCCTCGGCGAAGACGCCGTCCCTCCGCTCCTCGAGGGAGTTGGCAAGATTGAGCGCCTCGGAGAGCTTGGAGTGGAGGAGGGAGTCGGGGCGGAGGCGGGGTTGGACCACGAACAGCTTCGGCGGATGCGTGGGGTCGCGGCCGAAGAGGGAGACGCCGGCCCCGTCGCTTTCATCGGCCTCCGCGTCCCCACCGCCGCGGCGCCTGCGGGAGGAGGAGGTGGTGGAGAAGGGGGCGGAGGGGGGCGAGATCGGGGGAGGCGGGCGGAGGAAGGGCGGCGAAGGAGGAGGGGGCGAGGAGAAGGGGGTGAGGAGGATTCTGGGGAGCGATCGTAGAGGGGTTCGAAGGCGAGTGATGACTCTCAGATGCAGCATAATAGCGTTCGCTCTTCTTCTTCTCTTGCTGCTCGGCGGAGGGAGCGGACTTGGGCGGCGAGGTGAATGTCGGGAAGCATCCACGGCGAATTTAATGGGACTAATTGGTTCAGCGTAATTACTTTAAAGCCCCTACCAAAGTGCGAAATTTTATATTCATCCTACAAAACTGTGAAATTGAAATTAATCTGCAAAAATTTTGTTGAGGAAATTTATGCACAATTTCAAGGGCAAAATTATACAACCTATAATTTATTATATTACTATATTAAAAAGTTTAGAGCATCAATTAGTATTGATCAATTTTAATGAATAAAATTACGAATTTTGTATCCATTCTGCAAAACATGAAATCCAACTTAATTTCAAGAACAAGAAGTTGGGGGGTATTTATGCAAAATTACAAGAATAGATCATATAATTTATAAGAGAATTAATTAGTAGCCAAGTGATCTTAGTGAAGGTTATACTCTAATATACTCCTCTAAAACTATATATATATATATATATATATATATATTAATAAAAAAAATTAAAATTGCTAACAAGAAGTTTGCCTTATCTAAAAAATACCAATTTAAAAAATGATAAAAAAGCTCCAAAAATAATAAAAAAATTTAAGGGTGTCATTTTGTATATGTTTTTTTTCCCCAATTCATTATTGATGACAAAAAAATGACTTAATTTTATGACATGTGTAAATGAATCAGCTCATTATTATTAAATATAAGATTATATATAAAAAATTGTTTAGAAAAGAAAAATGTAGTGCAGGAGACTCCCATCACTACTGAGTAGGAAGAATGTATAATTAATTAATTTGAAATCTTTTGTGGATATTAATAGAAGGGTACAATGGCTATATACAAAGTTAGTTATATAGAATAGAAATCCATAATTGGATGGACAATGTCATATTTACACAATGGCTCCTCAGCATCCACGATATTATCCAACAAGGCCTTTTCGATGAAGAAGGGGACAAAAGCGGGAAAGAGCAATCGAGTCGCCGCTCGTGGTGGTGCTAAATTACTCCCCACACGTTCCTTCCTCCACAGATACAATCGCCTGGAATTTCCTTTCGTTCGTTTCTCCCGTCGATCCATCGATCGAAACATGCGCTTGATCTGGGAAGTTTCGATCCGGATCCCGATTTTGAAGGAGTGACTCGAGGAGAGAGATGAGCTCCGGGGATAAGAAGCCCGACCACGATTCGTGGCAGGAGAAGGAGCGCGCGACGAGGGCTTGGCGTGTTCTCCTCTTCGGATTGGTCGGTGCCACCGCCACTACCTTTGTGGTATGATCCCTCTCTGTGGCCCTGCGTTTTCATGGTTCCTTCGTCTCTCTAGGGATCCCGGTGCTTGTTTCCGATTTGGTTTTTTTGGTTCTCTGGCTCGGTTTGATTGTCTGTTACGTTGGAGTTGGGGTTGGTCGAGTCGATCATTCAATCAAAGATGCGCCTTTTATTTGGGAGTTGAATATGCCCATTTTCTTTTACAGACACCTGCTGAAGATTTCCGTTGATTGTTACCTCTGCTTTAGTTTCATTGGATGGATTTTAATTTCAGAATTTCTTGTTTCGATTGAGTTTGAATTGAGAGTTAGGAGGATTCTTCTCTCTACCTCGATGGATTCTTGTTGTTCTTATGTTATTGTACGCCTGAATATTATGGAGATCGTCTGCAATTTAAACATGGATCCTTCTCTCTACCTCTACCTTATGTTCTTACCTCGATGGATCCTTTCTCTAGATATATGTTTGGTTGCTTATATGTTGCATTGAAGATGGAGAAAAATTGTTGGTTTGGATTTTGGTTGTTGCCATCAATTTCTTCTGATTAATCCATGAACTTGATAAACGATGCTTTTACTTGGCAGTTGTCATTGTATTAAAACTCTTTTCATGGAGATAGGAGAAGATTGCTGTTGATTTTTTTTCCCATGCATTTGTTTCTATTCCATGAACATTGTCAAATTTTGGATTGCTTTGGATGAATAAAAAAATGCCTACACGTTGTAGTATCCAGATTCACAATTTTAGCATTTTTTCTTTAGTTTCAGTTGAGGCTTAAAAGAGATGCATGTTCTTGTTATGAAACTTTTGTTGAATTACTGGTATCAGATGTGTAAAATTGGATGATGAAGTTCTTATTATGCACTGGAAGTAATGGTCAATGCATCAGGTTCTTATGTCTTACTTTTGTGCATACTGTCAACATAAAGTTGCCATTGGGTACTCCTGATTTTTCTGGTTCCATGTTAGTGTGAGCAGTGAAACAACAATTGGCTTACTCTTGTTTTATTGGATTCACTGTTCTGGAAGTTTTCTTTGAACGTTTGGGAGAGTTTTTTAGGCCATTGGAGACATGAATTGGAGCCATTCATTATTTGTTTAAATAAAAACAACTATAACTTTTATTCTTTCAACACTGTGATTGTGCTAATCTAAATTCTTTAATTGTTTCACAGCACTTAAGTTCCTTGTTTATAATTCTTTAGGGGATTTAGTCTCACACCCTCTGATGATTATACAGTTCCCATCCTTGCCATGTTACCTTTTGCTCCTGTTTGTTGCACTATTTGATCTTGTTCATGGTGCTAGATTCTTATCTTTGTTGTAACTGGCAGACTGGTCAGCTGCGGAGGACTGCTGACTGGGTATACACTCAGGTATAGTTAGTCATTGAAATATTTTGACTACAACATTGCATTCACCAATTTAGTGCCCATGTAAAAGATGCTCCTTATTCTTCAAGGCAACTTTTCCTCGAAAAGTTACTTGCATTAGCAATGCCACTCTGCTTTACCAAATTTTTCTATTTTCATGTATTTGCTTGGAGTGATGATGAAATGATCACATCTGCCAAGTTTCTTACCTTGCTTTTCTCAACATCTTTGAATATTTGCCTACATTTTAACCCTTAAATGTGCAAGCACATGAGCAATTAGCTTGAAGGAACAGCCAATAGATGGACATGGTACCACTGCATATGGACTTGTCACTGTGAGCATATAAACTTTTGTTATTGAGTTGAAATTTTCTGCTGTTGATACAAAAAAATTTCAGTGATTTATGTAAACATCAAGTGAAGTTGACAATAGTCAGCGGTGCAGTTCAGTCATACATCTTGACAGTGATTTAAAAAGGTGCTCGGGTGAGGCGAGGCCAGGCCCGAGCGCCTCGTTTAAGGGCTAGATGGTGTGCTTCAAAAAGGCACCGCTTGGGCACTCGCTTCAGACCAAGTGTCGGGCGCTTCGGGCGAGTGCCCGGTTCAATTAAGCGAACCGAACCAGACTTTTAAGTCTGGTTTGGTTAAATAATGTAGTTTCTTACCTCAAAGCCCACCCTTCACGCTTGCACGACCTCGAGGAACCCTAGCACTGCTTCTTCCTCCGTTGTCGATGCTTTCTACCACTGCCTCCGCCGCAAATGCAGTGGACTGAGCCTTCCTCTGTCGCCGATGGACGAGTCCGATGGCCCCTGTAGCTTCCTTTCGCTGTCGCTCCATATGAAGTTCCTTCAATTGTCGAGGGAGTGGACCATAGGTTCCTTCGCCACCGACGGATGCCCTTTGGAGCTTCCGCCATTGCCGCTATTGCTATTCGCAGCTTTCGTTGTTGTCACCGCTGCTGTTGCTGGTCGCAGCTTCCGTTGTCGCAACCAAGGTATACAATTTCGAATAATATCGCTCGGTACGGACGGTACGTACCGGTCCGTTACTGGACGGAACGACATATATATATATATATATATATATGTACCGAGCAGTATACCGTTCGATATACAGTATCGTACCGTATCGAGCTAACATCGAAACTCCAATACGGTATAAAATTGCGAACCTTGATCGTAACAATATTAAACTAATCCTCTGTTACTGTTGCCATTTTTTCTCCTCTCTAACTACGGCTAATAGTAAGTAATATACTGTTAATAGTAGATTTTTAATTTAATATCATATTTTTATTTAAATAATTATATTTTTATTATATTATATATTTTTATTTTTTTTATATTTCAGAGCGTCTCGCTTTGCTTGGACGAGCACCTAGCGTCTTGGGCATTTTGGGACCTTGGCGCCTAGCGCTTTTTAATTCACTGCATCTTGATTTGTCCATCAGTTAGAGTGCAATTGGAATATAGAAAGCTCGTCATACCAATATCTATGCCTTAACACAAGAGATTGATTCCCTTCAAAGTGAATTGTCTATGGCATTGCACGATTAAAGAGATGGCTAAATTCATTATCCTGGGGATGTTTTCAGATCTGACTATTCCCATATTTTGAGGAAAAAACAATCTTTTTCTTCATGTTAGTCCTAGCACTAGCTGTGAGTAGATATTGTACCGGAATGGCGGAATCTTACATGGTTGACTGTTAAAAGTAATTTACCATGAAAGAAGTACCTGCCAAAGGACTACCTCTAGATTTTCATCTTTTTTGGATAATACTTGGAGAATCTAACAATCGTTGAAGGATATTTGAGGTTTCTAAGTCCATACAGTCCCCATTTTGCAATATTGGTAATGTTAATTTTAATTTCTTACCCCGGCATGAGAACGATTATTCCATGATTCCACATCAAGATTATCATTCTCAGCATCCTGGACGTCTCCCGCATTAGGATATATTCTGTTCTACGAACTACTAATAAATTTTAAGCCTGATAAATTATATGATTTGATGCAAAACAAAGATATGGACTACGATGATGTACTAAGTGAATTCTCCTTGGAAAAATCAAGCAAACCTCGCTGGCATTCAGTATGCTAATATTTGAAAAAAGAAAAGACACTTGGATTCTACTCATCTTATTATTATTATTACCTGAAGAAAGAGTTGGAAGCAATATTGTTTATTTGCATTCAATTGCTGCTTACCAATTGTAATTCATCGAAGATTTTCTTTTCTTTTCTTCATCAGCTGAGCAGATTACGGGCAAGTTCATCTTGGAGAAACACGAGTAGCTCAAATCATGGAGGATCCAGTCAAGATGCTTGGAAAAGATATTATCGCACTAGAATGCAAGAGGAATATGAAGAGGAAAGGGAGAGAGTTGTCAGTTCTTTTCCTGGTTTTTTTAATTTTTCTATTATCTCCATTAATTCTTTTTTACTAATTATTTTTCAAAGTGATAGTGAATGGTTTGATAGCACCATTTGGTTAGATTGTATAGTCATATCTAACATTATTTACTAAATTCTTATCACTTTACCAAACTTTCAGGAACTTCTCCATAACTTGCTGACTTTTTATTACTCTGGCCTGCTATTGGAGATACCAAAGTTTTGATGTTAAGGATTTAAATTTGGTTTGGTTGTTTATCACTTGGTTAATAGGCTTGCAACTTTGGGTTCATTCCAAACCAACACTAGATATATATAGTTCTAGTTCCGGCCTGATTCAATCACAAAGCATAACCTGACCAAACTAACCCAATCTAGGCCATTCAGGTCATTGTGATTGTTAGAAATCTTGCTCAGGTTTTCCAAGGCTGATTGGTTTCAAGCTGACATACCTAGTAGCAGTCTTACTTGGGACCATTGCCTGGCACTGATCGGAACCTGTAAACAAGTTGGTTTTCTATTGGTCCAATTTGAAGTTTGAATAGATGCACATCAATGGACTTTGAACCCAACTCAGAATGGCTCCATGCATTATCCTTGCCCTTTTGGCCATAAAATATATATTTGCTTGTCCTCTTTTCTTTTATACATCATCCATTTTCTTACATTTCTAAAGAAACAAACATAAAATTTTAGACCTTTTCTAAATTAATGATTATTCATTATTCCTTTTGGGCAGGACTTCTTTCATTTTATCTGTGTTGTCTATTCTTTTCCATAGTTGTCATGTTGAAGATCCTAGAACTATCAATGAAATTAGATGCCCTTTCATAACTCTCAAAATTGTCGAATTGGGAGAAGCTGTAGGTATTATTGCGGGTCAATCAATTGGGGAACCAGGAACTCAACTAACATTAAGAACAACAATATTAATCTACTGTGAGAAATGCCTAGTAAAGTTGGTTTGATCTATTCTGAAAAATTCTAGATTATAGTTTGTTTATTTTGCTTTTACTTGATATAATCTTGTTTTATTTTAGGATGTTTAATTGTTCAGAAATTCAAGTGTTCTAAGAGTCAGTTAGCTTTTGTTCCAAGTAAAAAATATACACCTATAGATTGGCTGACCAATGTTATAAAAATTATTGATGTTGATCATCTATCCAGGTTATCCTATTTGAAGTTTTTCAATTGAAGTCAGTTTTATTATGAATTAGTTTTTGTTTCTCTAATCTGCTTTAGCTAAGGAATTAGATGCTAATAAGATCTTATGTTATTTCCTATTTTGTATCATCCACTTAAAAGAAAATTATACCTAAAATTATATGGAGAGTGAATAGGTGGACATTTAGTTATTTTTTATATGTATCGAATGATCCAATACTTCAGTCCTTGCAGTAGTTCAAGGGTATGCTTTGCCAATGGCATCATGATAGTGAGAAACTCTGACATCTGTGGGGTATGGCAGCTGATATGACATTTGCAGCCATGTTGCATGGTGCAGTTTATGATGAGTGGTACATGACTATGGGCACTGCATTTTGCACTGACATGGATTCATGCAAAGTGTTGATACTTGTTTTGCATGATACATTCAATTAGCACATCGTGACCCTGCCAACACTGCTTATCTTTGAACTCTAATTCTATGATAGTAAATAATGCAGATCATGACTACCAACTATAAGAACAAAGAAAGATGAATATTATTTGAGCTTAATGCATATTATATGAAGACACAAATTACAATTTTGGACAACAATATGGATTGTTGATTTTTTAAGTTTAACAATACGTTGAAATATTTTCAAGTCCATACATCTAAATCACCTATAGATAGTGCTGATTTTGCATAAATTGAATAACTTATTGCTAATTTAAAGATATTTTTTCAGTATCATATTGTTCCTTAAATTTGTGAAAAACAGGGGTTTGATTTTTTGTCAAGTGGGTTTTGTTATAATTTTGGGAAGTTGACTCCAAATATGTAGTCCTTTCGGTTCCTGAAATTAGAATACTATACATATTTTAGCATGGATACCTTTAATGGCTAAGACTGTATGTCTGTGTGTTGGTGGTTGTTGGTAGTAGTAGTACGTCGATGCAATGCACAAGTTCTGATCATTTGTAAGACTATTCACCTAATTCTGAGTTTGCTGTTGCTTTCATGAGGCTTTAAGCTAGAGCTTTTCATTATCTCTATGGTGTTACAAACTCTGATGTGCTTTAAGTCACAAACTGTAACCACTTCCTTTTGCTGGGAATCATCAATTGATTGAAGGAAGAAAGTTCATTTTTCAGGAGCTGAGCTGAAAGGAACAATGGAAATTTGATGAAATATATTATTATAGGGTTGATTTTTAAGCCCTTGATATCATATGTGAAATAATTAGTGACAACTGCACTTTTTGTTACTTCCTAACATGTGAGTCATCTTTTAAAGTTTTGGCCATACCACTTGATACAGACCAGTATTTAGTATTTACTAGTCCCATGGTAAATAATGAGAGCTTCTGACCCATATTCCTCCTCTGCTCTCTCTCTTTCTCAATTGTTCGGGATGATTGATGTGCTAACATGCCATGTATTGGAACACTAGTATATAGCAGCTCAAACTGGTCTGGCTAGGTACCAAAACTTGAAACTTTGATCAAGATCACACCTGATATTGTGATGACTTGTGATATCAACTCGAATTCTTGAACTTTATTTTTTTTTATTCTTTACGAACAAACGTTGACTAAATTATGCTAGTATATTGTCGACTGTCAAGTACTTTTGGGTTTTGATTTTGTTGCCCATTTTGATTTTAGAATTTGGTTTGAGTTGTTTGCTTCTACTTTAATGCCAATCAACATCTTAGTCTGGTAATTTCTTTTAATGAAGAGTGATAATACTTTCCTTGAGAAATGGGAAAAGTTGGGTGTTTAGTGTTGGCACATGGCTAGGTAGAGGCAGCTATTCTACAATGATATGCAAAGCATGGTTTAGAGTTTTGGCCATGGTCTGGTTTAGAATGAAACTTAGTACAGTCATCCTCATAATACCAGGCTTATCAGCTGATAAGCTGATTGATGCTAAGCTGTATTAGACAGTAAATGTAATGTCTAGTATTGGTATCAGATCCTTTTTTTGTTATAAGCTAGTGACATTTTTTCTCTCTCCTCTGTCAGCCCTTCCACCTTATACTCTGCATTCACTTCCCCTTCCTCTCTCTCTCTCTCTCTCCCCCTCCGTATCCTCTTGGATTTACATAGATACATGGTACGCCAGTATATATACTGGTACCGAGGAGGAGGTGGGGTGGGAGAAGGACAAGAGGAGGCAGAGGTGGAGGTGGGGAAGATGAGGAAAAATAGTGGGAGGTCCGACATGTGGTTGGCTGACTGTCAGTTCTTGTGCATCACGTGTTTGCTTAAATTTAAAAAAATAAACCGGATCTACTGCTTTAAAAGGGGTAGCCAGCTTCCTAGACCAGTAAATGATGGCTGCTATGAACTGGTCATAACAATGCACATTCCTTGATATGTAATACTGTGTGATTGCTCAATCTCTATGAATTGATGTGCATGGTACTAAATTCTATAATCACTTGTGTCTCAGTAGCTACTTTCAATGGCAAAAGAAGCTTCAACTGTACATATTTTAAGCTGATTATATGATTTATCTAATTGGTGTTGCTTTTGATAATTTTGTGAATGAATGATGATCCGCATTCATGTTTGTTTATGTAGGAGCGTATACGGCGAATGCAAAGTGTATTTAACAGGGATAGAAATAAGCATAAGAAGAGCTATGAGACTTGGAAGTATAGCGACCCTGGTGCATATCGGTATATTCCACGTGATGATTGGTATTATGAGACAGATTCATCTTACAGGGAACAAAGAAGTAATTACAATTACACCCCTAGATCCAGGGTGAACTGTACAATGTCACACCACTACACAGTGTTGGGTCTTGATAGGTAGTACATCTCATACTTTTTTTTTTCTCTTCCTAGCAAATAAGCATGGGTTTCCTTGTTTACTCCTGGACACTATTCTCATGATTATGAAGTATTTAACTGTCATTGTCTTGTGTAATGGATAAAGTATATGATGAACATATTCTCGCTCCTTTTATGTGACATACTATACTGTCCCAATCTACGAGTGTGAAACTTTGATATTTGAGTAGCATTTATAGTTAAGAGTACATTTTATTAATGTATAATTTCTGCTAGTTAAAGCTGATTAAGTGAAACATGTCCTGAAGGAGTGGAACTTTTCAGAAGCAAACAAATCCGTGTTTTCATTTGAGGAACTCATAAAACTTAGTTGTCCCCCTCAAAAAATTCAATTTATATGAGTTGTCTAATTTGAACATTATTTGCCTCTTTTTGTAGGTCTAGAGCAGAACCATATTCAGATGTTGATATTAAGGTACTTCTCTCCAGTAACTGACTTCTTATTTTTCAAATTCCATTTGTGCCTTTTATACGTTTTTTCAATTGTTTAGACAATTTGTTACAGTTAAGGAACTTGTAGAAATAGTTATTATATAACCATGGTCTTATGAAAAGTGAATGAGAAGCTTGCTAGCCAAAAAGATGCTATAGTCAAAATGAGCTTCAGAGCTACAAGCTATTCTTTCACATTAGCTTTGACAAAGGAGCTTACGGGCCACAACCTATTCTAGGCTATTCACCTGTTTACACCCTTCATGTGAATCACATGTGATTAACAGACAATTGGAAGAATTAGTAACTCCCTGGGGACTGATTTCAATTATTGATACAGATTATAATATCATTTGGCACATAAAAAATAATCAGAGGCAACGGCAGCATTCTCTTTAGAATTTTGGTCTCCTGTTTTTGTGACAATGTCATCAAGTCTTGGAAAAATCAGGTTTGACATAGCCAGAGGCCCTGAATGTATTTTAAAGATGAAAACCTGCTTGTGGATCATGTATTACTCTCAGCGATATTATCAAAGCATACCTGTACCATGATAATCCCAACAAACTCCTTTTTCCAAGAAAAGAAAAAAGGAAAGAAAAAGTTGAAGGACACACAGTATAAGCATGGTAGTTCCACCCATGGTTTTAAATAGTGGTTGGATGGATATGTACTAACTGAAATTTACCTGTCCAACAAATGATCATAATTGGGTCATATAGCTTGGTACCTATGTCATGCTTATTATATTTCCAACAAATGACATTTCTTTATTATTTTCCAGTGATGCTTGACAGTATAGTACCATGCATACCAGTACTATGTCATGCGACAAGTTGTCAAAACAAGTATCGGACTTGTATTTAAATCTTTGGTGTCACCTTTTTCTTATCTTGGAAAATTTCTATTCATGATGATTTCTTTTTTTCACTTTATGGCACTTATTTTCTGTTATGCAAAACATATTTCTTAGGATCATCATGATAATAATCTATGACACTATATGTGCAAATTATATAAATAAAGCATGGCAATACTCTTCCAATGGATTGTAATTTGCTGTATATAATATTCTGTAGATTTTCTAGGACTTTCATCATTTTGTCATACCATAATGTAAACGTCATTCTATTCGTTCATGAAACCATGGTTTAGTGTGTTCCTGCTAACATCTTTCCATGGGTACAAGTAAACTAAAAGCAGTCAGTCAATTATATTTGTTCATAATTTGTGACAAACTTAACTTCCCCCAACAAGATCAGCTGAGTACTTGGTAAATAGTCTCTTAGCACATAAAACCTCTATGGGCTCAGTAAGATACTAGAGGCTGGTTGGGTCCTAAAGAACTCTGGAATTGTCGTCTGATGGCACCTGAATAATTGCAAGCTGAGTGTATCTATTGTACTCTAATGTTCAGATGCTAAGGTTACAGTTGTTGAGATATTTAGTTCTCTCGATAATTTTTTCACATTGTGTACCTAATTTTCACTCTTATATGTCGCAGACTGCTTTCCGAGCAAAAGCAATGGAGTACCATCCTGATCAAAACCCAGATAATAAAGGTTATTTCATGTGAAGTTTAACTTATTTACTATTTTGTTTACTAGTCAAACATTTTAGTCAAATTTTATCTTTGGTGAGGGAACCAATATCATTCTTTTGCTGCAGAGGCTGCAGAGGCGAAGTTTAAAGAAATAATAATGTCCTATGAAGCAATTAAATTGGAGAGAAGTCAGAGTTGATCCTCATCATGCTGGTAGAATGTAGATATTGGCATGTCCCAAGAAATAAATAGTTTAGAAGAACATGTCCTGCCAAAATAATAAGATTCATAAAAAATAAAAAAAAGTTGCTGATCAGATAGCGGTTGTGAATTCTGAGCATGCCAAGAGGTTTATCATTTTAGATGGAGTTGCTCTTCCACGGTGATCTTGACATCAGGCTTGGCAACTAAGTAGCATTTCTTTTTCCTCTGAAATCTCTGGGCTGCATATATATTTTTTTCTTCCATTCGAAAGTCCATTGCGAGAAGATTCTTACAGTGCCTAGCAAGTTGAAAACATGTTACATCTTGAATCTAACTCCGTATAAGTTAATGTTTAAATTGATGCCACATTTGAGTTGGCATTACTTCCAAAGTAATAGTGTGCCGGTTATCATTTTCTGTACAAAGTTGTTTGATCTATGCTGTACAATTATCTGAGTATGACAGGAAACTGTCCAAGTTGTGGAAGTAGCATCATTATTTATTACATGGTTAGCGTGATAGCTACCGATTTTTATAACTTTAATTTGCAGCCATACTCCGTATCAAATAAAGTTGATTGCTTCACTGTAGTGTGGCACAATCTCTGATGTGGTTTACAACAGGAAAACAATGTTCTCCATACAATATTGTTTCTTTCATCAAAAGAATATTGCATGTGCTTGTCTTTCTTATTCTGAATCCTGCCGATAGTTAGTTATCCATCTCTTGTGCATTTGAATGAGTTGAGGAACCAGACTTGGAACCCTAAAACTGCTATTTGCTGTTTATTCCATGTCTCAGTTTATAGGAATTTGATGCTACCAGAGCTGATTAAAAGTCTGGAGATTATCCATCAATCATCACCAATGGCCAAAGAAAACAATATTCGATGAACTTAAAACACCCACAGTATCAGGACATACCTACGAGAGAGCAATCTTGAGCTTTAATACCTTCAAACCATATTCCTGTAATCTCAGACCATATCCATGCAATTCAACTTACACAATCACTGGAAACCGAAATCACAAAAACACTGTTTATTGTCAAAAAATTAGTCTCACGGTACCTGAGTGATTAACAAGTTAGTGATCTTTATAGTTTCCACTCCACATGCACGATAATGGGAATACAAATTCAATGCCAGATCCGGCCTCGTGGAATTGCAAACTAAGAACATGTTATGTCTGCAACAGTTATTTAACCTAAAAATGGTACACAGTTGAGCTTGAGCTGAATTCACCACCCATCTTGATGTTTCAATTGGCAGGGGGTTTCCTATAATATGCAGGAACAGTTGCAGGGAAGAACATTTGCCGAACCCCTTCTGCTTTGATGATGGGGAAAATGATACCTGAGGCACCCTGAAAAAAGCACAATAGCCATGTAAATTTCGAAGGTGTGATTCGACTGAAAAAATATAAATCTATCTTAGAAATGCTGATACGAAAGGCAGTGAACCATGCGAATGATAAGTCTAAATTATGGATTATGGCTCACTCATATAACAGTCATATATCTGAATCTATTCATTAAATCCACATTTATTGAGTACCAGGTATGATCAAATTTGTTGACTAAAAAGATTGATAAGAACAAGGTGGAACATGTAAAAGAATTGCACAACATATACTTAATACTTACAGAAATAAGTCTAGCTCCAATCCACATTCGTTTGGGGGAAGGAAATGGCAGCAATAGGCGGCCAACACCATATATAGCGACAGCAAAGAAGTGTGCAACCAAAGTCAATGGCCTAGGATTCAGACCTGAGAGTAAAGAAATGGGTCCATTTGAGAATACACCTCCCAGGCTTAAATAGTCGAAACATGCTTGGCGCATTTCATTCCTAGCTCGATCAGGTGATGCACTAAAGACCTTGTAAAGAGCACCTGCTAAGGTGTTTATTGTAGAAGCAATTGGCTGCAGAAGTGTCATGAGATTTCATTAATGAAGAGAAAAAAGAGACCATAGATACATTGTGAAAGAAAATCTAAGAGAGATTGAAAAAGACGATAGATATCTGATATGCAGGATAGAAACCAACTTCTACTCAACAAGAATACTCTGTTTACCTTCCGTAGGGTGTAAAAAGACTCCAAGTAATTGCAGAGAGTGGATGCATCATGAAGATCACGAAGAGGCTTGAGAAGATTATGTAGAAGAACTATATCAGATAAGGCCACAGTCATTCCCCCACCGGTTAGAGGATGACGCATATTGAAAGCATCCCCCATTAACAGGGCTCCAGGTGTGGGATGAGGAACAGCTGGCATGCTCCTATTTGCTATTGTTCTAATATTTCCCTTGTCGATTGCCGATATAAAAGGATCATGCAGTTGAGCTGGAATCTGGTAAATATAAAATGTATCATCCATATGTTTCAGGACTCAACCAAAACCTAGCAAGTGAGATCACTGAAACTACCTGAGGTGTCACCACTGTCTTTAGGTAGCTAGCCATTTCACCATTCGTTACAGAAGGTACTTTCTGTCCAGGCACATCAACCAAACAGCGTACCTCATTGCTACTTATTGGATAAAATAAAATGGGTGAGGGATCCGCCAAGACAACATGCCCATGGTTTGGGAATGGAAGTTCACAGTTCTCAAGAACCAAACCAACAAAAGAAGACGGTATATCCACCTGCAAAACAAGACTCATCAAACCATCATAGTGGAAATCCATCATTGTTACGGGTGGTTCAACATGCCAGATGTATAAACCATACTCCCTAGTGGTACTTGTCGAAAAACCTGGCCCAAGAACCAAGTACACAATAAGTCAACCAGCCCCAGTCCTCGACTGCTTAAGGCCAAGAACTGAAGAGACGTCAAGCTATTGTCTTTTGGGCCTGAGCAGTCTCCCAAGTCCCAACTACTCAGGGAGGCATCACCCATGCCCCAATGATCTCCTATAACCAGTAGGGCTGTCAGAACCATGGGTGCTCAGACAACTTTGCTTAAACAACAATAGTTGGAATTTTGCCAACACAACCAAATATAAATACGAGAGCTCCTCTTGTCATCCATAGTACCAAATCCTCTAAGACCTCAAAATCATTAGTTGAAGCCTAAGCCTTCTTCTGCCACCTTAACCAAAAGTTAGCCATTGATGAGGACCCACTGGAGACAACATTGGCCCACCCTCTAGGTATGTCCCTTAAAAGACTTAACTAAAGTAGCTCTCCTTTTAGTCATGGTAAAGTTACTATCAAGAGGAAAGTCAAGTGTGACATGGCTGCACTCAGCTGGCCATAGCATCTCCCCTGATCCAAGCAGTGACACATGGCGACACAATTGACATTTTCTGTTGCATGTCTCTATGGAGATTTGTGCATCTATGTGATCTAAGAGATATTAGTGTGTAATTATTAGCACAGAACAATTAAGTAATTAACAATGTGCAAAATGCAGAGAACTTCATAACAGTTGGCCTAAAGTCTTAAAAAGCTAAAATCATGTGGCTAGCAGTGAACTTCCGTAATACTATTTTTACCTTAGGAGAGCAGAGAGACTTCCGCAAATTTGAAAAGCAGCCATCACATACAATTGTAAGAGGTGCAAAAGCTTTTAATTCTTCACCAGCTTTATTCTTATACAGTACCCCCTTAATTGTTCCATTTTCTTCAAGCAATGATGTTACAGTTCCCTGCTCCAGCCGAACACTGAAAAGTTGTTTATATAAAGAAATTTTAGTTTCTTGACTAAATGACACAACGTAAAAACTAGATCAACCAATTAGGCATGAAACATGGTAGTGTAGACCTCAATAAATCAGTTGCGAGTGTTTAGCAATCTTCTAGTATATCATATTACCTTTTAAGAAAGCATGTTTTCACAGTAACTTTATAGCACAGATGTCACATGCCTGCATTTTTGTCCCATTCAAAGGTCCATATTGATTTCGACAAGATAACTCAAAGCATTCTCTTTTCATATATCGAAAGACATGTTCAATTGATTTTGAAATGTTTTATTTCATAATCTTATCAAGTCTGACTGAAAATTTGTAACCAATATTCTACTAAATTTCTAAATAGAGATTTGTTAAAATGTAATGAAGCAAGAGAGTGAAGCTTTGAACACTAAAAAACCACTTGAATGATCAATCTTATTCTTTTGAAGATAAAAATTTATATAATAGAAGTAGAAAAGTGATTACTTGGGTAAAGTTGCAGCTTTCTGTCGCATCCTTTGTATGAACCGTCCATGATGAAAGCTCCTCCCAGCAACATCGGAATGAAATTTTTCCAGAGGGTAAGCAAGTTTAGTATTTCTTCCATCTTTAAAAAGAGCATAGCCAAGGACCCGCTGAGCATCAATTTCTTCAACACAATCTGGTGGCCAGAAAAAAACATGAACATTAAAGAAGATGAAAATTGAGAAATAGTAATCGAATCCTAAGAAGCAGTTAACCAGAAAGATAGGTGTGAAAATTACAACATAAACAGCAAAACAGATACCCCTATTATCATAGTGACCATAAAGGTGTTGCACTCTTTACATAATACAGAACAATGAAATTTTTTATTGCTTACCCTGAAGGCCCAACTCAACCAGTTTCAAGTATCCTCCAGGTTGCAAAAGTTCACCAACAATTCTGTCGGGCTCTGTTAAATCTCTCTCAATAACATGTACCCGTCTTCCATCCTACAACCAATAAAATTAGTCATATACTCAAAAGCATGATTTGAACTTAGGTTGTGCATGTTTAATTGTAAGAAAGCTATGCTAAGAAGCCTATGCTTATCGGCTTAATTGGTTTTATGAACTATTGTCAGAAACAAGCATTAAACAGAAATGAATGAAATGATCCAAGTCCTTAGCTAAGGTCAAACTTCAACATTAAAAGAGGAAAGATTGCATCAAAATCCTGCATACTGCAAATTGCTGAACACCTATGAAAAAGTTTGGGATCAATGACAGTGCAATACCACCAATCTGAATTCACTGGTTGACAATGGATACCAATTTAATCTTTCTCAGCAATGTACTATTGTAGCCCTTGCCCACGTGGAATATGACAATTTTATTAGCAATGATGTGCAACATGATCCTAACAAAGATTTTAAACATGAAATAAGTAAATGATATAAACCAAAAGTCTGTCAGAGAGTTGAATGTCACCAACTAGATTAACTTGTAATAGGTTCACTACCTTATTTGTACACTTCTTTGCGAATAATATTCAACTCATCTAGTAGAATTCATGGGAAAGCTAATTCTCATCCTTCCCTCACTGAAGTATTCAAGATAACCAACCAAGAAGTGTTTCTTTAGCAATCAACAAAAAGTAGTGTTCCTTGATATCTCAGTCATCACAAAGTAGCCATACTCCTGGACAGAAGGGGCTTAGCTTATTTTAGGTACCAATGGTGACACAACAAATTTATGTGTATAGTAACTAAAAATTATCATAAATTATCCATATACTATCTGAAAAAAAATCCACAAGAAGGAAAATTGGTGACTGGTCTATGGGGCTCCCGCCAATGCAGTTTGCAGAGTCAATTTACACAGCCTTAGGTTGTTCTCGTGAAAATGCACTTCACATCTCTACAACCTTCAATCCCATATATTCTCAACATGTACAAATCCATTAAAATAAACTTGATTCAACCGTAAAAAGATGAGCATTTGAAGACATCAGATCACAAATTCTAGCGCAAACAAAGCAAAAAACTAAGGAAGCAGTCAGCTATGTCTTTACCTTTAAATTCATAGCACTAGAACCGATACGAGGTTTGCAAGACTGTCAATTAAAGATCGACTAACCTCCTCGTGCAAAAAAATTAAATGATCAATAATCAATTTGAAGACCCCTAAAAGAGTTCTTTTATCTTGTTTCGAGCCCTAAGCATGATTAGGGCTTTCAAAAAAAGGAAATTGTGGAAGATAAGAAGAGCAAGAAGGAACTCCCTGAATAAAAGCAACATCGGGAAAGCCGAGCACAAAACACGCAGAAAAGGAGCATACACATATAAAAATGTAATGATGACGGTAGAGGAATCCTAAATCCCGAATCAACATCATCCAACCACCAAGATTTGCCAAGTAGGAAAGTAACGGAAGAAAAGGTGTCACCTTTCCGAGCGTGTAGGCGAGGGCGGAACCCGCGACGCCAGAGCCGACGACGATCACGTCCGGGACGCCGCACCCATCGGCGTCCGAATCGCACTGCTCCTTCCCGGCGGCGAAAGGAGCTCCATCGTCGGTCCTCTTCCTCCCCCTCGCGGCCTTCCGACCCCGGATTCCGGCGAGAAGAAGGAAGGCCAAGATCGAAGCGACAATGGCCGCGAAAAGGTAGTGCTCCGCCATCTCCGCCGCCACAGAAGCCATCCCCTCCTCGCTCACTCTCCGCCTCCTCTCTGTCCTCTCTCTCTCACGCTCCTCGCGTGTTCCGAGCAGCGGTTGATATAGCGCGTTCTGGATCCGGTCCTTCGCGTTGGTGTTTATTCCCAACTACCGCTCCGGTTCATTTTTAGACCAGCAACTTCGGAGCATCATAATTAGACCGCATCTCGGAATGAACCGGACCGACTGAAATCTTACATTTTTCCTTGGTTGGGTCCCACCTAGCCATTCATGGAGTCCAGCCACTTAAATATACATATATTCCAATCAATATTTGGATTTACATCACAACTAAAAAGAAATCAGGTTGTGATCGTCACATTTCTCGAAAATATAATTACATAGAAATGTTAGTAGATTGTTTTTCTCAAAAAGAATCCGAAAAGGCAGGCATTAATTACAAGTCACCCATCGAAGCATATCTTTGGTTCAATTCGAGATTTATTTTCTTCTTTTCCCCCACTCCGATCCAAACCACACCGAGAAAACCAAACCGTCGACGACGAGGGCGGTGACCGCAAAGGCAGAGACCAGACGCGACAACTTAACCCTACAACTGTTCCGCGGGTACAGTTCACGCGATCCTAGCTGTACCCATCTCACGTGGAATAGTTTATAAGCGACGGATGCGGATGCACCGCACCAACCACGGCGATCGGTGCCGTCCATCAGGACAGAGCGGGCATCTTAACGCTGATATTTGGGGAAGAGATCCGTTGGTGGGCCGGAGCACAGGTGGCCAAACCAGCGACGGCTCGCGGATTTGGGGGAGGAAAGGCGCGGGTGGTGTCATACTTAGCTTGGCCAAAGGTGGCATCCGACGCGAGGGAATGGCCCAGAAATTCTTTTATGCGTCGAGATTCGTGCGCATCAAGATCTGTGAAATGCCACATGAGTGTTGGACCAACTGGTTGTTACTTGGCATCGACAAAGTTATGCTCGTTAACAACCCCCGTTGTCCGAGATAGATAGATAGATGTTTTAAATGTTCTGCTGGAAATCGTTTTGAGTGCTGCCTTCTTACTATTTTGGATTGATCGACTCCGTGAGAATGGACGGTAGCGAGGGTCTGTATGTACCCTCCGTGGGCTGTCCTTTTCGGTCACAGGTTTGGTGGTAGTTATTTGAGCAGACAGTTGTGTCACTTTCGAATGCTTTATTGATTGATGATTTGTGATAAATATGGTTCCATTTAAATCTCACGATTCATCGATTCTAAACCGAATCGAAACCAAATCTAGACGATTCGGTAATAGTTCCGATTAAAAAAATACAATATATATATATAACTTATTTTTAATTAAAAAATAATAAAAAGTGATTCGAACAGAAAATGAAAACATTAGTTCCCGTTTCAATTCCAGTTCTCAAAATTGAAGAATTAAAACCGCTATACTGAAAGTTCTGGATGGTATAAATGATAGCCTAAATAAGCTATAGTTCATGTAAGAATAAAATTATATTTTTTGTGTCTCATGTGGAATTGTGTCAATCTAAACTATAAAGAATATTAAATTTATATATGTTGGACCACACTAGCTAGAGTTTTGAAATAAGTTCAACATTAATGAATGATTTAAGACGAGTAGTAATTAGATATTCTAGGATAATTTATCAAGAAACCTATTTTTTATTTTTTATCAGATGATGCCCCTAATTCATTTACATGGGGCATCTCTTTTCTCTATTTGGCTAGAAATACCCTTATTGTTTATGTCAAGTGACATTAAAAATCAAGAAATAACTCAGTTTTCTTTTTTTAATCGGATTAGTCCAGTTTGAATCCAAATTTCTATACCTCTAACCTAGCTTTTCTCCTTATTTTTCCTCTTTCACCACCACCTGCCCCCTTCTCCTTCATCTTATCACCTTCCTCCTCCTTCCCCTTCACCTTTTGCCTTCTCCCCCTTTATTATCTTCTCCTCCTTCGCTTCCTCTTATCTCCGCTTTCTCTTCCTCTATCTCATTTCATTTCTGTTCCTTTTATCCTTTCCCTCCGCCTTCTCCTAGTCCCTTTTCTCCTCCCACTCTACCTTCTCACCTCCTCCTCCACCTCCTCATCCTTCTCTAACTTTATTTTTATTAAAAAAATTGAGACGATATTTGAAAGAACAAAAATAAAAATCTCATATTTTCACAGAAAAAATACTCTCTTATTATCGTGCGAAAATTAATATGTAAAAACCTATGAAACAAAAAACTATGCATATAAGAAAGATGTGTTACATAGAGAGATCGTATATCCTTGAAAACCTATAAATTTGTAGGAGAGGATGAAAGAGGTCAACTATCCTCCTCTCTAGTAGTGATCCACATGATAGGGGCTGTAAAGATGCTTCTCAAATCTCCTCACTATGCGTACCATACAATCAAGAAGGGGCCAGTCGTTCTTACTACCACATGCCCTAAACAGGTACTGCTGGCTGAGAAAAAGAGAGGGAGAGGAGAATACGAGGTGCTAGCCAAAAAGGGTCTAATTTATATACTGGTCATAGGTGTCTTGCAAGCCAGTCACATGAGTAATGACTCGTGTGACATGATATGCTAGTCATAGGTGTCCAGCAAGCCAATCACGTGAGTGATGGCACGTGTGACTTGATATAAAATCTTTTTGCTTATTATATTTTAGCGTATATCACTTTATAACTATTGCATAAATGCATATATATATTGTGATGTCTTTTGATTTGTGCAATGAGAATTGGATAGATCACGATAATGAGATCGATTCACCTTTAAACACATATCCTAAATAATCCCGGTCATACGTTACTCGAGAGGGACATCGTGATAACCGGACAGACTGGTGTGCTGTATACCCGTCCATATGATGGATACAACTGGTCTCATAGTTGCTCGTGTAGGGACACTAGGGATACAGTACAGGTGCTCATTGGAGAATGAGTTCACTGATTGATCCGCTTACGGAATGCTGGATGGTTAATGATGCCTTATTGTCAGACAACGATTCCGTAGTCATAGTGGTGTATTTGGTCCTTAGACTTGAGACACCAAGGATGTCCTGTATAAGTGCTCCACTCTTTGATACCAGACTTATAGGTTTGGCTGTCCCAGATCTAATACAGTTGGTCATTGGGAGTGGTAGTCGACCTTACGAGGGCTATTGAGTGTCGATAGAGGATCATCCACTCTCGGTGTCATGAGAGGAATATCCCATATGTTCTTGCTCAGACAAATCCCTAGCCAGGGTCATTCGGGTTGAGAGAGAAAGAGTTCTCCGGGAGAATCCGATTAGAGCGAGACTCGAGTAGAAACCGTATGGGTCTGACAGCACCATGCTCGATATACGGTCTCTGGGATATTAGAGGGATGAAGGACTATAGGTACACGATAACTAAGGACAAACAGATCCAATGGATTGGATTCCCCTATATCGTTTGGGGACTACGGCGTAGTGGTCTAGTACGTCCGTAGTCGATGAGTCAAGTGAATTATTACAGAGATAATAATTCACTGAGTTAGAAGGAGTTCTGACAGGTATGACTCATGGCTAGCTCGATATTGGGCTTAGAGGGACCCATTAGGGTTTGACAGGGGACCTCTATAAATAGGAGGGATTCAGAGCCTGGAGTTTTACTCCTTTCCTATTCTCCTCTCCCTCTCCACCTCAGAGCAGGCCTAGAGTTTTGAGGAGCGTCGTCGCAACCCTGCTGTGTGGATCATCGCTAGAGAGGAGGACGCTTGACCTCCTTCACCCTATCCTAAGGATCTGCAAGGAAACAGGGATATACGATCTCCCTAGGTAACACGATCTACTCTATACGCAGTTTTAAGTTTCACGGATTTTGCGTACCAATCTTCGCACGACGACGGACATCTTTTTGGGAATCGGGGATTTTGTTTTCTTGTTATTCCGCTGCGCATATGATGTCGCCCCCAAGATTTCCTAACAGTGGTATCAGAGTTAGGTTGTTCGTGCGAATGATTGATTTTGAACTGCGTGTGTTATGTTTAGGAAGAATTTTGATGTCAAAATCGTTGACGCAAAAACAAGGAAGGGCAGCAACAGTTACTGCCCTCGATCTGCGTGCGTGCAGCGCAGCCGAAGGCGGGCAGCACAGGGGCTGCATCTGCAGCAGGCTTGGGTCCGGCGGGGCTGGCAGCCCGCGGGCAGAGGCGCTTGCGGCCGCTTCTCCCACGGGGTGAGGCGCCGCAGGGTAGCAG